AGTTCTTTTGAGGTTGTAGTTTCATGGGCAGCTTGGGTCAAATTATCTTGACGTTTTTCTTTGACGCAATTGTTGCATATCATAAGAGCATTTTTTCTAAGGCTGGTACTCCATTGACAGCAGCCTCACTGAGATCAGCGCAGTCTTCATTCAGGTGCATTCGACAACCACAGTAAAAGCAGTCGAAAGAGCTTTCATTTTTCAGTATTTTCTGACTGACTTGACCCGATTTCGGGTGTTATGTTTGGACACTCGATGAGCTGCTGTTATGTTGAGACTCGATGAGCACGCCTTTTGAGATTTAGGACTCAAGTTTTGAGATTTAGGACTTTTGAGACGCCGTTTAGGACTCAAGTTTGCGTACCTGTTTAGAATTTCTTCGTTTAGCTTCGCGCTTCTCACCAGCCGTTCGACGCTTCGTGCCACGCGTTGTCATTCCCAAAATGAGGGTTCAAATTGTGCGTCGTAATGAGATAAGAGACCTTTTTGCAAGCTTGATGACGCCGGTATGTCACGAGGTGTCGATCGAACCAAAACGACAGAATGCTGACAGACCCCTGGCCGAAGGTTCTAAATGTCTGCAAGCTAGCCACGAGTGGAGTATGGAGTGGCAGCTTCAAAAGGACTATTTTTTGTTGTTTGTCTTTTCAGTCCTCTCTGTAAGACTAACATATGGCTGGAAGAGTACGAGTTTGCTCTAAGACAAGATATACCGGTCGGAACGGAGATACCACCAATGAACGACAAAAACAGTTTCTGCCCATGATGCCACAGGAAAATAACACATAGATCACAGGGGGTCAAACGCAAGAGTTGGCGAAACTGGTATCATCTTAAATGCGGAAAAAAACCGATGATGTGTAAACATCAATAACCGAGATATTCTGGTAGTGTTGAAGCTGCTACGCCGCTAAGAACAAGGAGAAGGATGCTCTTCAGGACTTTTAGAATAAACAAATCTAAATGACCATAAAACATCAATTTACAAATGTTTTTTACAATATTCCAAATACATTTTGGTTCTAAACCATCATATTAAAAAATTAGCTAATCACAGTTGACTTCAAAAATTACTATTCATTTCGAAATATTTTTATCCTCAAAAATTAATTAAACATTTTTAAATTTTTTGTTTAGAAGTTTTTGAGTCATATTTTTGATTTAGACATGTACGTTTTAAATGAAAAACAGAAAATATTTTGGGCCTTATTTTTCAGTGTTAACTCCCTTCTCTCAAACTCATCGCGCGTGTTCAAGCCCAGTTTCTCTTTCCTGATATGTATTGCCTCTAGTGTTAACAGTTGTGTTTGGTTGTTTGACCTATCTATATTATCCCAACTAAGATCTGCGCTGTTTCCTTCAAGCGCAGATCTTTGTTAGAACAGTCAGAGTTGAACAGACATTGTTAGAACAGTCAGAGGTGAGCCTAGTTATGTTCTCGATGCCGCCAATTCTCTTCATCCAAATCCGCAAATCACTCTAGAGGAAGCTAATTCAGAGTTGAATTTGCGTTTACTGAGTTTGAATGTGACACTTGACCAGAATGGCGTCCAAAATGCATTTTTATGCTTGCAGTGAGTCGATATGATGCGGATAAATTTTTTTTCCTACATTTTGTAAATTCTGTTTGATGACACTGTAATATTTTAATGAACTTCTGGAAACTCAATGAGAACACTGACCAGGCTGTCCGGGGAGTATGTGGCCTTCGACCAGAATGACGTCCAAAATGAACGGCAAAAAATGAAAATTTACCTGGAACAGTTTAGTTAAAGAATTGACTGATTCAGTGAGTCAACCGTCTTATTTGATAAACTGGACGAATTGGGAGTGGTCGGTTGAAACTATTTGATTTGAGTAGGACACAAAAATCAACCCTACTTAGCTTGTGTATGACACAAAAAGTTCACATAATCATCTTCTGCAATAAACAAAAAATAGAAATGTGACAGGATGTTTGACAAGAGTTTGAACCGGTAACTGTAAAACACTCAGTTATAGTACACAAAAACATAATCAGAACAAGAAGCTAGCATGGTTTCACCTCAGTTTTGACAAGCAAAACCCAATCTATCAACTCGCAACACAATTTCAACCTGGATTCGATGATGATGAGTACTACCAAAATCAAGACATTGAATTCATCTTTAACGTTTTCGTTTCACTTTAAACTATATTGTCTTTTTGAATTAGTTAACCTAACCCTTTTTCACGATGTATAAACATAGTTTGATCCCACTGTAAGTGTAAGTATCAACCAACTGTTTATCTAAGAAAGCGGCGAATTGTAGTATTGCAAATACTACACGGACATAAAATACTTTCGATTTAGTTGTTTACATAAGATTAGAGTGGACTCCTTTCCACTTTTAACTTGTCAACCATTTAAATACTAGTCCAGTTTTTCTCATTCTGTCAAAGTTGAATTTCTTTTAAAATATTCAATATTTTTTCACATGTTTTTTGTCGGATATTAAAAAAAAAGTGTGTCGTCATAAAGGCTGACCGTTTAAAATGTTCTGCTTTGAAAAGCAGACATTAGAGCAATAAGCACACGGTCTTTTGGAGCCTAACAAAGACACAAATAGAAAAAACTTCTGCAAATTAATAAACTGAAAGATTGACCGCTTTTTAATTAAAAAACTTCAAAGATGAGGCAACTAAAAGTTTCCAAACACCTGGAAGAAGAGATATATTCAATAAAACAAAGTCTATGAAGATTAGAATTAGATTAAGGTACTTTGAAGCATTCTTGCCTTAAATTGAACCTGTCTAAAATCTTCATAATTTTTTTTACCACTCTCATTTTAACTCCCTCAGTGGAGTTAACACTTTCCGGAATGATTTTATTCCTTTATTTTGTTTCTTTTTATTTTATAAATTTATTAAGATACGATCTCAGGGCTTTTATAAGTTCCCGAAAAAAAACAGCAGCACGGATCCAGACGAACTGATGACCCAATACTCTGAGAAGAATTAGGTGGACAGATCAATCAGCAATCTAGACGCGGACTACAGGCAAAGGAAGTGTCAGTTTAAATGTAAAAACGGGGTTTTGACCCCATCCCTATTGGTACTAAAGACAGTTGTTCATTAATTGTTTAAATCATTTATATTTTACTATCCATTATATAATTTTATACTTTTTCTTAACTAAATTTTTAAACTATTATTATTGTCAAGAAACTTGACGAAATAAGGTGAGACTTATAACTTAGGATAGTTTACTAAACAACGAACCAGCAATGAAAGCTTAGTAAATTGGTTTCAGTTTTTTTTTTTCAGAAAAAGTACATTCGCATGATTCGTAGTTTTTGTTAAGTCTGATTAAATTTTTTCCTTTCTATTTTATTAATGATTTCATTCTCGGATAATTATGGCGATACAAAATTTGATATCTTGCATTTTAGAGTTCAAAATACCCATGTTTTTTACCCGCAAAATTAAAGACGCATCATTAACATTTTGAACGGCTTGTACACTCCCAGTAGGAATTTGTTGTAGCCCCGTAAGACTTTATCACCAAATTTTACCTTTACCGTAGTGTTTACGGTAGTTTTTAATTTAAAATAGTTCGCAGTGGCTTACGAGCTAGAATAAATTTCGTATGAATCGAGTTTTTAGGAACTGAGTTATGAAAAACAGTTATCATTGTTTTTTTAAAATAATATTCAATAACTTTTTCAGGTAGAAATAGCTCACGTATTGTAGACAAAGTTTTTGTTGCAAAAAATTTCCCGCTGTTAGTTTTTCTTTTTGTAAATCTTAAATATGAAAACTCTTTTGAAAAAATTGGGAAATGCATTTTACCTAATGCACTGGTTTATCGAAAATAGTAAGCGGGCAAATCCATAAGGAGTTTAGCAGGCGGGCAAATCCATAATTCTTGCTAATTTTTGTTCAATCTTTCGATGTTATCGTATAATTTTTATTTCTTATAACGACGTATTCAATTGTCAATGTCATTTTTAACGTCTTAACGTCATTTTTAACGATCCAGATTTTTTAAACTAATATACGAAAAAAAACAAGGAAGCTTTTTTGTGTCGTCTTTTTTGTTCCTTCTTCATATTTCATTTTCCCCCTTTTCAAGGTTGTTTTTTTTCAGTTAACTAAAAAAAATGATTTTCATCAATCTTTTAAACAGAAATTTTTTTATAGCGAAACTAACAAGAAAATTGGGCAATGCAGAGTTTTATTGTGATAAGATCATTTTTTAGCTTTATGAGTTATATTTATTTTCGACTGAAAGGATGTCTTTGAGAACCGATTTTACGGTCAGACATCGTCCGCGTTTTCTTTTAAATCAGTAAGCTTTGCAATGTGAAGTAGGAAAATTGATTCTATTGTTACGTATACTACAATCATGTAGTCAAACATCAATTAATTACGGATCTGATCTATGTCAAAGTGGGTGGCAAGATTACAATAAAGTCCCTCTGTTTTTTGCCAATTCGAAAGCATCACTTTTTGTCTTGAAATAACACTTTGCCCTCGATAGCTTGGATTTGGGATATAAGCCCATAGATGGCTTGCACATATGAGGATTGGCTCTTGTAAGAAATGTGTTGTCAATCACTGGACATGAATCACACATTATCATTCCTTATCAACCTCGTTTCAACTGTCTTATTCAATTGATACTGATTTCAACTAATTGTAACTTTAGCAAAGCCGAGATTTATTGAGGGGGCATCAATATTTTCAGGGGGCAATATTTCAATCACAATCGCCAGATATTTCAATCACAACACGAAAAAAAATCTCACAACGCAAAGTTTTAAATATAAAATGAACAGATCTTGTAAGAGTGAGATTTGAGTCTCAAAAAATGCTTCAGATGTCGCAAACTTTTTCACCGCATTTACTGAATCAATTACAGTTCTTACCTAATTTGTAAGTTCAGAAAACTGTAAAAAAAATTCTCATCTGTCTTAAATTAACAAGTTCTCCTCCTATAAACTTTGAGGAAAAAGCAAAATATCTGAAAATTGGTAATTCTGAGAGTAGAGAATGAAAATGAATTGAAAATTGTAAGACATCAAGAAAACCCAACAATTTATGAGAAAAGATATGATTTAAAATGAGCATTGTCCTTTAAAGGCTTTTTAGGGCTCTAATCTGTAAAATAATACCAGCAGTAATGGACAATGACCGCAAAATTAAGATTGACATATCAAATTTTTATCTCAGTTCATAGTTCGACGAAGTTTTGCTCATGTTTCCAACAGACTGAAGAGGATAGTGAGTGTCATAGTTACGAGTCCTGGTTGACGTCGGACCTGTCAGGTTCGCGTCCGAATGGGCCACCGCTGGCGCCGGCGTTCGACTTCGACTCGTGCTTGGTGAGTCGTCAATCGGCGGAAAGTGTTCGGTAGATGAAGCCGAGTGAATGTCGGTCGAAAACTCGGATCCTCGTTTGATTGCCATCGCTTGAAGCGGGTCCAACTCGACATATTGACCGTCGGATCCGTGACTCAGTTGGCTTGCTCGCTGTGACGATGGTTCGTTACTTACATGTCCGCTGCTAAAAGAGCTTGTCGTGCTTTTGGAGAATGAACTGCTCAGGGCTTCGCTTTCGAAAACTTGTTCGTAGTTGTCGATCATAAACACCATGACTGTTTTTAGTAAGTCGGTGTGATCTCTGCTGTCGCGGGCGGATACCATGTGTTGCGGGGCGACCGGGGCTGCGCTCTCAGTTTTTGTTTTCCGAATGATGTTGGGACCGAATACGATTCCGAGGTTGTGTGAGTTCATGTTGTTGAATTGAGCATAAGCGGCTATCTTCTTCAGGTGGATAATGAGCACGCGTGCTGCACGTCTGTTGGCCGGAGCGATCGACTGAAATCGAAAAAAAAATAAACAGTTAGAGACTCCAAAAGACAAGTTCTTCAAAGTGAAGTTAATCTACAAATATTTTGTTCAATTTTTTTTTCATTGTTTATTTCCTCTTTGAAATGAATACTTTAGCAGCAGTGTTTTTAATGAGTGTATTTATAATCGAAATCTAGCTGCAGTTATAGGTTAAATTTTATTACGATGTCTGTGAAGAAGCTATCAATTTGAAATCGTGTATGCATTTGGAAAAATTAACCGATGATATGCATATGCGATTACTCAGAAGTTATTCTGAATCGAAGTTACAAAAAAGAGAAATTTCATAACAGAAATACGGAATAAAACAACATGTTATTTTGCAACTCACATAGAGTATTTCAAAAGTCTACGCAGAGACGAAGCTGAGATTCGCACCACTTGAGATGCAACAAATATATGGATAAGACAGCATGATGCTCAACAATTAGCAAAAATGACAAGCAACTATGTTACATTTGAAACAAATGCTCAAAAAAAACGAAGGAATTTGACACCAACGCAACCCAAAGGGTCAACTCTTTGGTTTTTTCAAAGGGCGCCTTTGGCACCGGTCCATTTTTAGTAGAGGTGTGAAAGTACTAGAGGTTTGAAAATTTTTAGGTCTGAAAATGAGCCCAATTTTAAGGCCTCAAATCAGACTCATTTTAGACTCGAGGCAGGTACCTGCTAACAGGTACCTGTCAACCTGCATCGTTCATAGTATATATACCCCGTTCAAAACTACCTTGCTCATTCTAAAAACTTCTTCACTGGACTTCACACTGCACTGTGGACTGGACTTCAACCTTCAACTTCAACCTTCCAGATGTCAAAGCGGGCTGCTCCCAAGGACTCCAAGGCTTCTGGCTTCAGGACGCTCAAGGGTTTCTTCACCAGTTGACCCAAAAGTCACCACCCTCATCCACTACTCCTGAGCCTGGCAACCCTGGACCATCAACTCGTGACACGCCCATACCTGGACCCTCAAGGCTCTTAGAGCCACTGGCACCTTTGTCCACCATAAAAGATGAAACTCTTTCATCAACTTGTTCTATATCTCCGATCTCTGAGCAAGCCCTGCAGTCTCCAGCTTACAAAGACTTAAAAGTCTACAACTTCAACTTGCTGGAGATGGACCGTGATGTCAAGTTTGCTCTTCTGGACAGCCCCAACAGACCCCCACCGCAAAACTGGCCATTTGAGGTTGTCACCAAGCAAGAGAGGACAAAGAAGAGATCACTTGGACCTTAACATCTCGACAAGTACACTTTTGTGGTCTACTCAAAGATTCAAGAAGGCCTCTTCTGTCGCTTCTGTTTGTGCTTTGCTGACATCGAGGAGATAAAAAAAGCTGGCGGTTCTTCCGAAGTACAACTTGTCATCAAGCCTTTTCCAGTAGTTTGCACGCTTGTCAAACTACTTGCAGCCTCATCAGAAGAGTTCCCATCACAAAAAAGCTTTGGAGAAAGCGCAGGCTTTCCTGGATTCAGTCATGGTACAAGATGCGTTGAGCGCCATGATGCTCTCGTGACTTTCCTCCAGTTACTGCCAGCCGTTAAAGCGACACTTGAAGACATCAGCAATTGGCTTGATAAAAGTTGTGTTTCGGACTGCAGTGCAGTGCTAGAATTTTACGATCAGAATTTATAATTGCACTGATGAGCATGAAGCATGTTCTAGCTGCTGCAAAAACCACTAGTGTTACGATCCAAGGACTAGCTCTGGAACTTCCTCAAGCTGTTGAACACATAAAGAACTTGCGTCTTCTCTTCTAACAATGGCCGAACGGTGAAGGCAGTGGTTGCTATCAAAGGATCCGGTCGATGCGGTCGAAATTGATGTTGTCCAACTAGAAGGTCGGAGAGGCCGGCCTCCTACAGCTACATCAGCCTACGATCATTTCCGTCAGATTGTCTACCTGCCTTTCGTCAACTTCGTACTGTTAGACTTGCAAGAAAGGTTCTTGGCGGCTGCCGCCTCTTGCGTCAAAGTTTGCAAGCTCCTTCCTCGATCTATTTCGGACAAAGATGCAAATGAAGAAGATTTTGATGACTTGGTCGATCTGTATCAGAATGTACTGCCTGACGAGTGCCAAGTCTGGAGGGATATGTGACGCTTTCCCCCTTATAACGAAATACCGAAAATTCTGTGCTGATGCCCTAAAAGTCTGTCATAAGTCGACAATGCCAGTTGTTTACACCCTGCGCCAAATTGGAGCAACCTTTCAAGTAACAGTTTACACTGCCGAACGCTCTTTCTTCAGTATGAAATTGCTGAAGAACTACCTTCGATCTTATATGAAAGAAGATCGCTAATCGAGTTTAGCTTTAATATTTCTACAAAGAAGTAGAAATAAAGGTTCATGATGTCATAGACAGATTTGCCGCAAAAAATCGCAGACTCACTTTTGTATAATTTTGTTCGAATTTTGATGACTTTTGAATTCAATTTTTGCAACTGTTTTTCCAAAACTCCGTCCTCCCGTGGAAAAATCCTAGATCCGCGCCTGACTGAAGACAAGATGGAATACACACTTTGGAAACTAAACCAAAAGTTTACTCGATAACATAAAACCAGAAAACTATCAGCCAAAAGTTGAAATTATAGAAACTCTATAATTATACATGCGAACAGATCTATCATTATGGATATAAGATAGTTTTGTAGAAAACATGCCAAGACAGTAGATTGCACAATTAGCACAAAAAATTGGAATGCAAACATTATAAAAAAAATTGCATTTTTTTGTTTGGTCAAAAAAAATTCTTTCAATCGATCTTTCAACTAAGAATAACAAAAAGTTTAAAAAAGATAGAAAAAAAATAGCCGATTGCTGTGCAAGTAGCAACAATTTTTACGACCACAATCATAAGAAAACTATAAAGAATATTTTCTCAAATAACTGATTTTTCAGGGCGTGGTGTCATTGGAGAAACACAAACAAAAAAAATGAAAGTAATTAATTAAAAAAATTTCAATTGTTTCTAATTTTAGGATAAGAGCTTTCAATATCTTCAAGAAAACGCTTTACTGAAAAAAGGGCTAAAAAAATTTCCCATACCATTTTTTTTGTAAAATCGAGTTTTCTAAGCGTAAAACTTTGAATAGAAATTAATTTTTGATGTAACAAAGGTTATTTTTTTTTCGCGCGAAATTTACTTACATTCACAAATTTTGTGCTTGTTTTTCTCAAGACTGGGACAAATTTTGGCACTGTTTAAAAAATTGTTCGAATCACGACTGATAAACTTTTAATTTGATACATAATTTGACCCAAACAAAAAAAAATTTGTGTACTTGTGTTAGCTCATTTTGCGTGGAAAACAAATAAAGTAAGCACAAATTTTTTGCCCGTTTTTTAATGGCCGGAGAAAAAAACCCAGTTTGTTAAATTTTGGTTTTTTTTCTGTTATACCCTGAAAAGTTGACCTTTTTGATACAGTGCTGATTTCAATTATCTGAAAAAAAACGAACAAAGTTTGAAGTTTCAAACGCATTTTTCTTTCAAACGACAGAAAATGAGAGAACAAAAGTTGCTTAGAAATTCACCAGCATTATTAGGGTGCAAATTTTTCCGAAATTCTCATTTAAAATATTACTCCAAAAATGGGTCATTTTGGCTGTTTTTGAAATAATCAAGAGTTACGCTGAAACTACGGAGTTAACTGATGAGGAAGTTATACCAAAAAACCTTTCACAGAGCCCAACAAAAACCTAAAAACACTGCGTATAACCTTTGAAGTTTGTTTTAAGCCAAAAGTTTTGATTTTTATCTGGTAAAAATTACCTTTTTTGGCTATCAATCAAAAATGTATTATCTGATAGAGATTTCTGGAAACTTCGCAATTCTGCATTTTTGTTGAGATTTGCAAAAAGGTTCTTCTTTGGTATAGCTTTCTCATCAATTAAGTCGTTAGCTTCAGCGTAATTCTTGGTTAAATCAAAAAAGCCAAAATTTTTCATGAAATTTTGAAAACTTCGGGAAAAAATTTGACCTACTAATTCTGGTGAAATTCCAAGCCACTTTTGTTTTCTTCATTTTTTGTCTAACTTTAACTCAATTTGAGAAAAACGCGTTAAAAGTTCCATGAAATTTTCAGAATTTTGGGAAAAAAACTGATCGAAGAAATTTTGGTGAAATTCCAAGCCACTTTTGTTCTCTTCACTTTTTGTTTAATCTTAACCCAATACGAGAAAAACGCGTTTGAAGTTTCATTTGTTGTTCGTTGTCTCCCGTTAATTTAAATCAGCACTATATTTGAAAGACAAGTGATATTGCTTGAATCTGAGTAATCTCCAAAGTTAATTACAAATAAAATAGAAGTTTTAACGATAGTTTTTCGCTGTATAACAGAAAAGAGATCTCTTCAACTATCCCCCCTCCTTTGCTAAAGGGGGCAGATTCGTAACTATAGGTACAAGTTTTACATATGCTTAACCGTTGAGTTACTTCTTTATATGGGGTGAAAAATCGTTACTAGATACCATAGGTACAAGGATGTTTAAATTCAACCCAGAAATACCCAAAATTTCCCACCTGTAGATTGTAGATGACTCCTGGTAGTACATGTGGGGGGACTTTAGTTCCTTCTGAGTTGCTCTTCACGATGTCTGCTCCCAAGGTCATCCAGCTGTCAAATAACTTCTCCTCTAGGAGACTCTTCGGGATGGTGCGGATGTAGTGTTTTATCACCATTCCAATCACTTTGTGGTCTGAAATGTCATCCGCTGTCACCTGAAAAATGATTTTTTCTTCAAAGAAATTTTTAGGCAATTTTTGCATTTTTACATCATAAAAATCCCAGAAATATTTGATTTTTTTGTCCTAATTCGAGCGAATAGGGCGAGCGAGCGAGCAGGCTTACGATAGCTTACTTTAATGGCTTAAAGCATAGAATAGCTTAATTTAAAACGTAAATTTTTTTTTACTCGAGTAACGTTAGTTTTTTTGAGTTTTTAGCGCCTTTTTGGATTTCAAAAAAACTTCAAAAAATTGCAACACAATTTTGAACAAATTCTTGAAGTTTTTAAGGTTTAGTTTTTCGTTTTTCAGGTCATTTTCCTACAAAAATTGTTTTTCAGTTTGCTTATTTTTCTATGACTGTCGAAAAAGCTAATTTCTATTTTTTTGTTCAGTTCTTTATATCATACCACGCCAAAAAAACGACTCTAAATTTGAGACAAATTTTCAGTTGAATTTAAAAAAAATTATAGTTGAAACATTCTGCGCTGCTTGCACAGTAGCCGGCTATCCTTGTTACTCTTTGATCAAATTTAATTAATTATAATTATTTTAATTATTTTTTCCTGATTGTTTTTGGGAATCCCGTCGAAAGAGAGCTGTGATGAAATTTAGCGTACATCGTCTCCTGAAAATCTTTGTTAGAAAATCTTCATTTCATATAATTGCTCTCGTTCATTTGTTCAGATTTGGGTTTGTATTGACAAACTAAATGAATATGCAACTATTCAAAACATGTTTCATTGCTTTTTTTCCGACGGGGGTGTTGTGATCCTGTTTAAGAATTACATGCAACTTGTTTTTGGATATTTTTTCTGGGCTGGGTTTTTTTGTCTCACCCTCAAGCAACGAGCACGGATCATGTGTTCTGATTTCAGATTGAAACAAAAACATAAAATTTATCGTGCTCACAAAGCGTGACGCCGCCGCCGCCATAAAATCATTCTGTTTATATCCCTTCGCAAAATGATAGGAAAAGTATTTCGAACATCTCGTATAACGTTTCAAGCATTGGAATTTTAAACGACTCTTTTCGTGAAATACGATTAATAACGACTCTACTCGTAAAATACGGATACACGAACGACTCTTCTCGTAAAATGCGAATGCACGAATAAAGTTCACGATAGATAACGAAGTTAAAAGGCAACTTCTTATTTGCTACGACAAAGTGGGAGATTTCCCATTTAAGTATAAACAGAAGCTGAAAACTACTGAGTTTAATTCCAACAATTTTATCGCACAACAGCCCAACATCTCTCTCTAAAAACATTATTCACAGTCAAAATATCTCAAATCCAATCTTTAAAATAAACATCGAGTCTAAAGGCAACTTGCAGTAAATTCATACTAACTTCTTCGTTAATAAAATATTTTTCAGCGATTTTTAGAAATCTAGATAGAAAGTTAAAGGACCCTATATTACTAGCAAGCGTTTTGTCCGAAGACGTAGATTAGTTTTGCTAGTATTATAAATGGTAAAAATGTCATTTTTCATATAAGAAATGTTGTAAGAATTTGTTCATCTCTCTACGCTAAAACGTTTTGATGCAATTCATAACAAGAAAAGTCATTTTAGGAAGTCTTTCATATATTGAATTTCAAAATAATATATCAAAGGGGGACTAGAAAAGAGCCTTTTTCTTACACTGTAGATGTCCCTCTCAATCTTTTCGCAGAGCTGGGCTGCCTTCTTCCTCACCCCCTCCTGTCTGTAGATGCCGATGTCTTTGATGAATCTGTCCTCCACAATGGCCAAAAAGTGAGACAGGAAAAGAGGCTCACCCGCCTCATTCAACGGCTGATCGGCAACTGCCCGTCTTAAAAAAACATCAGGCATAAGACACGTTCGCCCTTTATACATTTATCCCAGGGAGGATTTAGTGGGGGGGGGGGGGGTTTGACCTGTTTTTTTTATCAAATGCACAATTTTCATCAAATTAGAGTCTTTATAGTGTTCTAGGAGCGCTCGAAAAATCAATTTGGTCGACCTAGAAAAGGCCAAGGAAATTTTTGAAAAGTTTTCGAAAAACCCGCCCCCTCAAGAAAATCCCAGATCCGCCCCTAATTTAGACCACCTAGATGTTCGGGGCTCGGTTTTTCACATTTAGATTAATATATCCAATAGGTAAGAAATGTATCACTAAAAATATGTGGAGCAAAATGTGTGTAGACCAAATAAGACAACACAAACTTGACAGTTTAAAAACAACTTGACAGTACTTTAAAAAAGTAAACCGATATGCAATGCTATTTTCGATCTAATTTTTTCGATTGCATCTGTAGAAATGAGATTGTCTTTTTTCGCCATTCGCAAAAATTAATAATTTAGGATGACTTTTTTTTTTAAATTCGAACAGTTTTACCGAGAGAGGGGGGAGGGGGGGGGGTGTGCACGACGGTGAAAATATTAAAATGTTTATTTTTTACAAAGCAATACATTAAACATATAAGAGTGGACCACTCACCGGAAGTATCTGAGAGGAGGAGGGGGGTAGTCTTTGAGCTGGTCACAATGGGGATACTTGAGGGGGAACTCCTTATGCTCACTGTGCATCACATACCCACATTTAGTACACAGACTGCCCTCGTACACATACTCGTGACACTCGAAACACTTGGACGAATGACTGAAGCAACAAAAAGCAATCAACACAATTGCGCGTTTATTACCGGCTCAGAGAAATCTCCTGATATAATTTGTTTATAGGCCCGATACACAAAAATTAATTCTTCGTGATTTCAGGGCAAAAAAGAACAAAAATTTAGATTTTCCGAGCTTCGTATATCTTGACATTGCTGCTTTTGAAAGGTTTTAATATTCATTTCACACATAAATCTTTTTAAAATGCCAAAATAAGCATGGTAAGTCGGCCTATAACATAGTTCTTCTCAACTTTGGTTGGTACCATGATGCAAAGCAAGATGTCATCATGACACAACTTGAAAAGTTTCCACCATCGGACCGGACCGACTTACTTTTTTGTAGCACCAATTATGATATTTGGGGCAGTTATTTAAGCGATGCCTCAAGTTTCAGTGAGACAAAAAACAAAGCTGTCTTTTGCAAACAAGACGATCTTTTTTCGATTGAAACACCATAGAACTCGAACTTATTCGTCAACTCAAACAGCTGCGCGTGGAAGACAGACTCGCAGTTACGTCATAAGCTCTGAATCGTTTTGCCAGAAAATTTATTACTACGCCATACTTCATCAGTAAATACCAGCTATAGCTATGCCAATTTCGCATGAATTGTCTGATCAATTTCCACTAGTCGAGAAAAATGAATTAGACGAGAAAAAAAGATAATTGGGAAACAAAATGGCTATAAAATAGGCTTACGTGGTATCATCTGGCACCATTTTCTCCCACGTGTGCTGTGTTTTGCCAGAGAAGATGCCAGAGAAGATGGAGCCGTCTCGAGGGGGTTTGGTGGATCTGGCGTCTGCCACTGCGGCCGCAATGTCCTTCTCGTAGGGGTGTTCTTTGCTCTCGAACTCCTGCTCCTGGTCTTTCGTGGATCCCTCGATCTCTGCATCTTGGTATAAAATGTCCTGAAAAAAAGGGAAAAAATTCTTTATTTGAATGAAAAACATGCAATTATGTTTTCCAAGACGCATAAAAATTTAGTTTGTCTAGACTGCTTTTAAGGTAAAATGAAAAATCTGACTGCATTTTTAGTTCAGAGTGAATTTTGAAGACGCCGGAAATCATTCAAAAGAAGCACATTCTATTGTTAAAATTTGAGTTCAATTTACTTTGCAGATATTGTTCCGACTGTAAGAAATGGCGAGGACATTTCTATTCGGGTGTGTTTTAGTTTCCCGCTCAATAAACTTTCATGCTGAATAAAATTTTCCGGAAAAAAAGTTTACATGCAAAAATTTGTTATTTTTAAGTATACGTTTGGCCAGGCTGAATTCAAAAATGAAATAAAAAAAGCTTATCGTAAATTTTTCTCACAAATTTCTGTACGTATGGAATTGTGCAAAACTGTATGAGAAGCCTTTTTCCACATATGATAATATTATGAAAAGCTTTTTTTTGGTCAACCCGGGTTTTTTTCCAAGCAAAATAACGCACAACAAATAGAAATAGTCATCGAAAAGGGTCGAATTTTTTTCAGCCATGATTCAAACGACATTAAAAAATTTTGTCCAGAAAAACCAGTTGAAAAGTTTTGATTTTTGGTGCATTTTCGAGCAAACAAAATGAGCGAGCAAGATTAATTTGATTTTTTTGTCAACAAAATGAAATTTCCCAAATAAGCATCGCATTGAATGGAGTGATATATCATAATGAAGACCTTGTACCTCTGTTCGAATGATATTTTAGAAAAATTCAAAAAATTGTCCCTGTCGAGAAAAAACTGGTTTAAAATTTCAGTTCAATTTCTAGCGAGTAAAATGAGCGAGCAGGCTTATTATAGCAGGACAAGCCGCGAAAACTTTGTTTTACTCCAGTACAATTTTGTTTTGAATTTTTTTCAGCGCCGTCTCGCAAAGAAAAAACACTTGGAATTTCAAAAGATTTTCTAGAAAAAATATGAAATTTTATATTTTTGCTTTTCTTGTCCGTTTTTGACAGAAGCTGTTGCCTTTTTTGCTGTGACTTTTGAAATTGTTTAACTTTTATGCTTTCCTGTGATCGTTTTATCACACCTCGCGCAAATGGTGGAACTTTGTGTACTACTTGCTCAACAACCGGCCATCTTTGCGTTTTCTTGCGTTTCATCCAATTAAGGTGAATAAATTTTGACTTTGACCGAATTCATGCATTTTTTGGTCAAAAGTTTCCATTAAAAAGATTTTTTTTTTAATTCCTAGATCCGCTCAAAGCTCTCTTCACTAAAAGCCTTCTCCCCAATTATATGATAAACCCCCTCCCTCCAAAAAATTAGCTTGAAGGGTTGCAACTTTTCTCAGTACGTAGGGGGAAGGGGGGATGCTATAATTGGAAAAAATGGAAACAATTTTGATGTGTACTGACGTATACTATGTTTTCGTTGTGAGCTAGTGTCTTGGCCACTGTCTCCGAGAGCAGGTACTTGTAGATCAGAGGCCTCTGCTGCAGTCCAGTGGTGAAGTTGCGGAACAGGTGACCCAGAGCAGACTGCAACTTCCTCTCCGCCTGCAATATGCAATCATCCACTTCAATTTGGCAAAACAGAATGGAAACTAAAGATTACAGTTAGCCCTATAGATTACAATCAACCCAAGATTACAATTAGCCCAAAGTTACAATTAGTCCAAGATTACATTTAGTCCAAGAGTACAATTAGCCCAAGAAAGCCCAAGATTAAAAAGGTAATATAATGGCAAAAAAGATGAAAAGTTTCAGCTTTTTTTAGGAAATTTTTTGAAAACTCATTTTGACGAAATAATTGATTTCTCTGATATAAGTTTACCATCAACAGAAACCCACCAAAATTAGTTTTTTCTACTTTTTTGTTTAGACTAATATTGATGGACCATGGATGTTATCTGAACGAAAAACAAATCAGAAAGTAGCGAATAATGTTTTTTTATCGACCACTTTTCAAACTATTTTTTGTGAATTGGCTAGTATTATATAATGTATGGTGGTTTTTGTGACCTGCCAGACGACATTGAGAGTGGAGGTGAGTACCCACTGTCTTTTGCTGCACAACTCACTCCACGCCTTCTTCTGTTCATCCCTCGCTATCCTGTACTCTGTCCACGCCCTAATAACAAATATACAACTGATTATTTTCACAATCAATGTTATATTCTAGCAGACTACTAGCAGATTATATTGTAGCAGACTACCATACTAGTCTCACTAAAACTGCTCGTATTAAGGTGATGGGATGAACGTTCTGTTCTGGCTACTAAATAAATTCGATAAAAATTGGTTGTTTTAAGAAAAACCATGAAATTTTCAAAACATATATGAAAACAGGGGCGGATTTAGGGGGGGTGGGGGCCGGACGCCCCCTCCCCCTCAGGGATTTGACCCCCTGCCGACCCAAAGGGTCCCCCCTTTGATACTTTTTCAGAAATCCATTTTTGGCCGACCGACTCTAAACTTTATATTAACTTTGAGGGGGAGCGCGCGCCAAAAAAAAACGCGATTTTTTTGTCAAAATTTTTCAAAAAGTGCCCAAAAACGGCTTTTTTGACTGTTTTTTCAAAAATTTGCCTGCGGCACAGAAAATTTAGCCAAAATAGGGGCAAAACAGTGCTTTGGGTGAGCTCGAAAAATCAATTTGGTTCACCTAAAAAAAAGGTCGTCAAAATTTTTTGAAAATCCGCCCCCCCCCCCTCGAGAAAATCCTAGATCCACCCCTGTATCAAAATTTCTTTTTTTTGAGCTTTTGATGAAATACCTCGGTCAATAATTGTCCCAATCTGACCAAGTTGGCCATCTTTAACGCCCTACAACTTTACAAAAAAAGGTTACAAAATAAAAAATTTTAAAATTGGAGCTCAAGGCAACAGAATTTCTCAAAAGATATAAACGAATTCCTTCAAAAATTGCCAGTTAAAAATCGAAGTTTGTCTGGAGCGGAGCAAAAACAAACTCGAGTACAAAATATTCCGTCACTTTTTTGAAAGTCGGAACAATAACCAACTAACAATGATCACAATAAGTATTCACACTCTGGTCGTACTAAGGAGATTCACCGACTTTTCCAACTAAACCAATTGTTTAATCTCAACAAGACTGCTCGCATATTCGGGCCCAGCCCTGAATGTTCCCACTGATCTTTCATTCATATCGAATAGTTTTTGGGAAAAGAAAGGATTGAAAAAGTATACATTTTGGACAATATCGAAGTGTAAAATTTTGAGTCGAACAAAATTAATACGACCAATCAGCTAGCCTCAAGTCAATTTGGAATGATTTTGTTGTGCGGGATAATTTGCCACGCATAAATAATTCGCGTTCGCTCTCAGCATTACGAATAAACTCTTCAAAGCGCGCATAATCTAGTCCAAAACATGGCAAATTTGGCATTTTTCAAACCCCCAGAACTTTACAAAAAATAACTGGAGGTGAAATATCTTTTTATATTTGAACTCAGAAAGTTAATATCTTCAATGTGTGACTTCGAAGTTGTGGGACTTCGAAATAACATGGATGATCAACAAAATATATTGGATTGCTATTGTCAGTCCCAATAATTTTCAAATATAATCGATTATAATCGATTGAAGATGAATCATAGTCCCAATAATTTTTATATCAATATAATCCATTATAATCGGTTATAACCCATTAAATTAGTTTTTTTTCCAATGTTATTGATAAAATTTCCAGTTGCAAAGTTATTTTTTGCATTTGCTACTTTTAGTTTTCACATAATATTTTATATTTTAAAATGTTTTCTTTTTTTTTCAATTTGGCAGTTACACAATTTTTTCAATCGTTTTTTTAATCATCGCCAGAGTTAGGATCGCTATTCACTGATGCTTAGTGTCGCCATTTGCCCACTACCTCAAGTAACTACTTCAATGGTTGAACGAAGGGAGTATTTAATGGTTGAAGGAGATAAATCGTTGAATGGGCGGGATGAGCTGACACCCCCGATTTTTCCCCCTCAGTTCTTCCTCCCCATTTCTCTACCACCTCCTTTTCCCCCTCTCCAGTTTACCCCTCCCCCTTCCCATCCCAGGTCCCCTCCCCAGTTTACCCCCGTCACTAAAAGAGCAACAAGAAAAAAAAACATTATTTTGTGCACTGATTTTGTTTTTTTTTGTTTCATGTTTTTTAACATATAGTTGAAAATTGTTGTTGATTTTTCATAGATTTGCAAAAAAAAAAAAATTGAAAAATCAATTTTTCTGCTAACAAACAATTAAGTAAAATGGATTTTCGTGGATAGAAAACAAAAAAATTATGATGGAAGAAAATTCGATTAATATGGATTATTTCATTGTGCAAAAAATCGATTCGAATCCGTTAAAAATGGATTTACGTTTCAAAACTGGCCTTCATAATCGATTGTTTTGTCCAATATTTTTGTCACTAAGAGTCTTTTATAATTGATTGATATCCATGACTCCAGTGCGAAAAGAGTATGCAGGTAGCAAAAAATAATTTCGTGGAACCTAAAACCAAAACCTTAAGCGTTGTTTCTGGGAATCCTTAAATCAAAACCCCTAAAGCGGTTTTTGTCGCTAAATTTTCTGAAAACCCCGGACGCAAGATAACTGATTTAATGTTATATTAGTTAGAGATACAACATAATCAATTATGATTATCGCTGATTGCTAAACCGACTCGGTTGGACAATTTGTTAGTATGCAAGTTGCATAGAATGTTTAGTTCTTCTATAGCAATAAGGAAACTCTCGGCAAACAAAGTTAAATTTTCAGCCCTCAAACTTACTACATTGGTGGTGTGATAACCTCCTTGCAAAATTTCAGACAATTGTCTTGATACTGAACTAAAATTTTTGTATTTTTGTTCAAAGTCTTAAATCACAACCCGAAGAAAGCAAAACTGATACGCCATTTGATGTCTCAAACGATGTTTTCTGAAACTGCGTGGTTGAAATCACGATTTATCAATGATTTGATTTTTCCATGAATCAGATCAATCGGTTTCACAGTTATTGCTCCAACATGTTATCTGTGATTACTTTTTGGAAAAAATTGAGTTTATTTCTCGAATTTAAAAGTTACTACTGCGTTCAAATGATGCCAGATGCTTTTTCCGGGCCACTGTAAGTAATCTCACAGCAAACAAGTGAACTTTTGGTTTTCAAATCACAAGAAAACTTTTTCAGTCGTGTTTCCGATGAAAGAAGGTTTCTCATAGTCACAGGAAGGGTACCAACTTTTGAGCAATCAATATTAGCAAAAAATAGACAAGACCGAGGCTTCATTTAAAGTCGAACAGTTTTTGTTTGCATTTTTGTTAGGACAGTAACGGAATATTTGTGCTCGAGGTGGTTTTTTTCTTCAGACAAATTTCGACTTTTTAACCAAAAAATTTCGACGGAATTTTGTTTTTCAGATCAGCCAAAAGGTAGCGTTGTCTTGAGCTCAAACTTAAAAAAAATTACTGTGATCATTTTTCTTTGAGTTTTGAGGGTTTAAATATTGCCAATACGGCCAATTTCAGACAATTAACTTGCGATATATTTAGCGTTTTTAACGCGTAAGCGGAGATTTAACCCCTGATTGAAATTGTTCCAAAATGATTAAATTTAGTTATTTGTCTTAATTTTTAAGTTATTAAGAGCTAAATATATCATTTTGTATATCATATGGCGTGTGGAGGGATGATTTGAAAAAAAACTCAAGTTTTCGTATTTTTTTTTCAAAAAATTCATCTTTTTTTTAAAGCGAACACTGCTTCATAGACCTTAAAAGACAGTCGGAATTGTACGAGCAGTCTTTCTTGTTTTAAGGTTCAGCAGAATTCAAAATTTAAAGCATATTTATCTACTACTATTACCTTCGAGGAAAGTGACGGACTTTTTGTGCTCGGGTGATTTTTTCCTCCCGACAAGTTTCAATTTTTTAACTAGCCATTATCATTCGAAAGGTACCGTTGTCTTGAGCCCAAACTTAAAAGTTATTTCACATGTGATTATTGCTCAATTTTTATGCGGGTTATCAAAATGCCATTTTGGGACAATTAACGCGTGATATATTTCGTGCTATCAACACGTAGGCGGAGATTTAATCCGTTTTAATCCGGCTTCGCCCTGATACGAGCAGTCTTGTTTGTTGAATTTAAATATATGGAGGCCTCAAAATGTTTGGAAAGTTAGTTTATTTAGTATATGATGAATCAAATTTTGTTTTAAGCTCTAACAGTTGTGATTCAGGTTCCAAATCTTATTCTAAAAAGTCATCCGCGTGGGAGGCACCGAATCGAATTTTACTGCTATTCGGAGTCATATTTTAGAATCTTGTGTTTGACTTATCATCTGATAGGCGAAGTATCACTCGCCTTTTTAATTACTATGGTACTATGGTTTTTTTCTCAAAATGTTTCGTTTTTCCTGAAACGTTAGCATAAGCTATTGCAGGATCAAAGAAAAAAGAACAAAAGGTAATGTAACTTGAAAACAAAATCAACTGCTGGGTAAAATGTGCCCTTTTTCGACATCATGAACTTCTTCTTCAAAAAAGATAGCTAATTTACGGAGCCAAATTAGGAAAAACATATAAAAATATATTTTCCCGTCCTAGTATAAACCCTTTTTGCACTGCATTTTTTCAATCGTTTTTTTAATCATCGCCAGAGTTAGGATCGCTATTCACTGATGCTTAGTGTCGCCATTTGCCCACTACCTCAAGTAACTACTTCAATGGTTGAACGAAGGGAGTATTTAATGGTTGAAGGAGATAAATCGTTGAATGGGCGGGATGAGCTGACACCCCCGATTTTTCCCCCTCAGTTCTTCCTCCCCATTTCTCTACCACCTCCTTTTCCCCCTCTCCAGTTTACCCCTCCCCCTTCCCATCCCAGGTCCCCTCCCCAGTTTACCCCCGTCACTAAAAGAGCAACAAGAAAAAAAAACATTATTTTGTGCACTGATTTTGTTTTTTTTTGTTTCATGTTTTTTAACATATAGTTGAAAATTGTTGTTGATTTTTCATAGATTTGCAAAAAAAAAAATTGAAAAATCAATTTTTCTGCTAACAAACAATTAAGTAAAATGGATTTTCGTGGATAGAAAACAAAAAAATTATGATGGAAGAAAATTCGATTAATATGGATTATTTCATTGTGCAAAAAATCGATTCGAATCCGTTAAAAATGGATTTACGTTTCAAAACTGGCCTTCATAATCGATTGTTTTGTCCAATATTTTTGTCACTAAGAGTCTTTTATAATTGATTGATATCCATGACTCCAGTGCGAAAAGAGTATGCAAGTAGCAAAAAATAATTTCGTGGAACCTAAAACCAAAACCTTAAGCGTTGTTTCTGGGAATCCTTAAATCAAAACCCCTAAAGCGGTTTTTGTCGCTAAATTTTCTGAAAACCCCGGACGCAAGATAACTGATTTAATGTTATATTAGTTAGAGATACAACATAATCAATTATGATTATCGCTGATTGCTAAACCGACTCGGTTGGACAATTTGTTAGTATGCAAGTTTCATAGAATGTTTAGTTCTTCTATAGCAATAAGGAAACTCTCGGCAAACAAAATTAAATTTTCAGCCCTCAAACTTACTACATTGGTGGTGTGATAACCTCCTTGCAAAATTTCAGACAATTGTCTTGATACTGAACTAAAATTTTTGTATTTTTGTTCAAAGTCTTAAATCGCAACCCGAAGAAAGCAAAACTGATACGCCATTTGATGTCTCAAACGATGTTTTCTGAAACTGCGTGGTTGAAATCACGATTTATCAATGATTTGATTTTTCCATGAATCAGATCAATCGGTTTCACAGTTATTGCTCCAACATGTTATCTGTGATTACTTTTTGGAAAAAATTGAGTTTATTTCTCGAATTTAAAAGTTACTACTGCGTTCAAATGATGCCAGATGCTTTTTCCGGGCCACTGTAAGTAATCTCACAGCAAACAAGTGAACTTTTGGTTTTCAAATCACAAGAAAACTTTTTCAGTCGTGTTTCCGATGAAAGAAGGTTTCTCATAGTCACAGGAAGGGTACCAACTTTTGAGCAATCAATATTAGCAAAAAATAGACAAGACCGAGGCTTCATTTAAAGTCGAACAGTTTTTGTTTGCATTTTTGTTAGGACAGTAACGGAATATTTGTGCTCGAGGTGGTTTTTTTCTTCAGACAAATTTCGACTTTTTAACCAAAAAATTTCGACGGAATTTTGTTTTTCAGATCAGCCAAAAGGTAGCGTTGTCTTGAGCTCAAACTTAAAAAAAATTACTGTGATCATTTTTCTTTGAGTTTTGAGGGTTTAAATATTGCCAATACGGCCAATTTCAGACAATTAACTTGCGATATATTTAGCGTTTTTAACGCGTAAGCGGAGATTTAACCCCTGATTGAAATTGTTCCAAAATGATTAAATTTAGTTATTTGTCTTAATTTTTAAGTTATTAAGAGCTAAATATATCATTTTGTATATCATATGGCGTGTGGAGGGATGATTTGAAAAAAAACTCAAGTTTTCGTTTTTTTTTTTCAAAAAATTCATCTTTTTTTTAAAGCGAACACTGCTTCATAGACCTTAAAAGACAGTCGGAATTGTACGAGCAGTCTTTCTTGTTTTAAGGTTCAGCAGAATTCAAAATTTAAAGCATATTTATCTACTACTATTACCTTCGAGGAAAGTGACGGACTTTTTGTGCTCGGGTGATTTTTTCCTCCCGACAAGTTTCAATTTTTTAACTAGCCATTATCATTCGAAAGGTACCGTTGTCTTGAGCCCAAACTTAAAAGTTATTTCACATGTGATTATTGCTCAATTTTTATGCGGGTTATCAAAACGCCATTTTGGGACAATTAACGCGTGATATATTTCGTGCTATCAACACGTAGGCGGAGATTTAATCCGTTTTAATCCGGCTTCGCCCTGATACGAGCAGTCTTGTTTGTTGAATTTAAATATATGGAGGCCTCAAAATGTTTGGAAAGTTAGTTTATTTAGTATATGATGAATCAAATTTTGTTTTAAGCTCTAACAGTTGTGATTCAGGTTCCAAATCTTATTCTAAAAAGTCATCCGCGTGGGAGGCACCGAATCGAATTTTACTGCTATTCGGAGTCATATTTTAGAATCTTGTGTTTGACTTATCATCTGATAGGCGAAGTATCACTCGCCTTTTTAATTACTATGGTACTATGGTTTTTTTCTCAAAATGTTTCGTTTTTCCTGAAACGTTAGCATAAGCTATTGCAGGATCAAAGAAAAAAGAACAAAAGGTAATGTAACTTGAAAACAAAATCAACTGCTGGGTAAAATGTGCCCTTTTTCGACATCATGAACTTCTTCTTCAAAAAAGATAGCTAATTTACGGAGCCAAATTAGGAAAAACATATAAAAATATATTTTCCCGTCCTAGTATAAACCCTTTTTGCACTGCATTTTTGAAATAAGCTTTTCTCAAAGTTGACTTTGACAAATTGGAATCTGCATATAGCTCGATAACATGAACTGTGATTATTAATAATTTGCTTAATTAAGCTATGAATTTTCACTTCAAGAATGTACTTTTCCAAAAAATTAAAAAATAATAATTTTCCTTTTATTCCAATTTTCGAAAAAAGAGGAATAACATATTTTTAGTGGCTTTTGAAGGCAGAGTGGTTATCAAACCAGGAATCCAGTTGTTTCAAGCGGTTGTGCTAAGCATTAACCTAAATGCCCGCTCAGCCTGCGTAACCAGCTCATTTCTAGATCGAATTTTTTTTATATGACGCTGAAGCCGTAACACAAAGTATTATCCAGCTCAAAAATTGTTTCAAAATGTAATCAGGCAAACTAATTGATCATATTTTTTCCTGAATTATTAAAACAGTGACAATTTAAATTAACCGGACGCAACATTTGAAATTTATAACACGTTTTTTCAAACTAATTGATTAGAAAATTACATCAAAAGTAGCCTATCACTCAGCAACAAAATTCTAGAAAGCTAAAATTTCCAAAAACTTGAGCAAAACGCTTTAATTTTGTCTTTAGCTAAAAATGTTGATTTCATTATCTTAACATATTCGAACTTTTTTCTTTCTAGAACTTTGGGCTACTTTTTGATATAACTTTCCAATCAATAAATATGTTAGCTTCAGTGTAATCTTTTTTTTTTAATGAAAAAAGCTAAAAATGAGTTTTTTTTGGATAAAAATTTGTGTAAGAATTTTGAGAATAATTGCATGATAACAATTTTGGTGGAATTATAATCATATTTTATTTTCTTTTTTTTTTCTAATCCTACCCCAATTTGAGAAAAACGTGTTTGAAATTATAAAAACTTGTTTGTTTTGTCCGGATAGTTTAAATCAGCACTGTATGATATAGCATTTTATAACATTGTATATTTGATATTGACCGTCCAATATTTATAGTTTAGAATACATTTTTTTCGCCAGTAACTATCGGAGACCAAAAAAAAGCAGTCAGAACATTCAGGGCTTTTCTCTGACATAGGAGCAGTCTTGTTTTTTTTAGGTACGCCTAAATCATTCCAAAAAATGTTTCCCAAATTATTGGGGTTGAAGATTTGAACTTGATGCATCTGAAGGAGATTGGGGGTTCGGGTGTCGGGTAAAGATGGGGGAGGGGAGTGGAGGGGAGGAGGGGAGGGGAGGGGCGTTTTAATCTCGTTAGCTAAAACTCAATATTCAGTTGTCTTACCTGTTCTTGGCGCCCTCTTTCTCCGCTATCCTGGCCCTTTCTGCAGCCGGGATTCGACCCACTTCTTTCTCGTATGCAAGACTAGCACTGTAGTACTTATTGTAGGTCTCTTTGCTATAAACAACAAACGCATATTATAATGAACTACCGCAAGAAAATTGTGTTTCAAAACTATCCGGGGGTTGGGGTAGATGACATTCTAGAGGTTTATCTATATTTGATTGTCAGAACTGAAGTTTTCTCTCAGTAATAGCAAAAAAATTTTTCTAGAAATATGACGATTTTTTTTGTCAGAAAACATAGAAGACACGGACTTGGAAAATATCTTGTAATTATTATGAATGACGACATGCTTGTTTTGTTGTTTTTGTAGTAAATTGATATACACAGCGGGTTCTTTTTCCTTTTTCCCTTTTTCCCTTTTCCCCCACCTTAAACACCTTTTTTATAGAGTAACGGTGGATTTTATAAGGTCAGGCGAGTATAAAAACCAAGTGTTCTTATCAAAACTTAATTAGTTTGCATGAAAGTTTTTGTTACAATCAGAATCCGCGATCAAAATTATATCTTATAAGAATATGCAGGTGGAGGGGGAGGAAAAAAGCCACACAGTGATATACTACTATAAAAAATAATGAGACAATTAGACTTATTTGTTTAAAAAAAGAATGGGACTCTTCTCCAGTCCCCCCTTTAATTTTTTTTCTGAAATTCAATATAAAAAAGTTTTTTGAAGGTCTTTTGATTTAAAATGACTTTTCATATTAAAAACTGCAGCAAAATCTGTGAACAGGTGAACAATTTTATAAATTTATTTCAAGCAAATTGCTATGTGAACAGTTTTTGATTAGTTTTTTATAGTGGTGGGAAACTGAGAGGGTGGGAAACTGAAAAAGTGCCAAGATTGAAAAATCTCTAATAATTATGTGCTCACCTATTTTCCTTGGCCTTATCGTAGTAGGCCTGTTTCCGCTGCCACTCCCTCCTCAACTCATTTGTCACCTCCTCGAAGTCCTGGATTCTGGCTTTCAGGGGATCCACGAACTCCTTTCGCATCAACTTCTCACATGTGCCTTGTAGGTTCACCGCAAAGTCCTTCTCATTCGCAGAGAGATTCTAAAAGTTATAAGAAAAACTGGACTTTTTTCAGTTAGGAAACTTAGAAAAACTTGAATACTTAATAAAAACAAGAAGTATCGCTTGCTGTGGTAAAGGCACATAAGTTTCCAATCACATCAGGCTAGGCTCTATAAAGCTATTTATCAATTTTGTTTTCAGAATTATTGAATTTTTTATGACAGAAAATCACCAAATGAAACCTCAAAACTACCTTTTACTATGAAACAACTGACCCCCCAACAAAGCACGAGAAAATTTTGTATTGAACTTTTTGTTTGGCATGCGAAAACTAGCAACTAAAATAAACGCCAAATAGGGTTTATTGATAGACCAGGTCACCGCCCTTTTAATCGTACTTTGATCGATAATTTGAAATTAATGATAGAATTTTTTATTCTATAACGAGAGACTTTGTTTGAAAAATTTTGTTCTGAAAAGTCCATTTCAGAGCAAGTAAAGCCAGTGAGCCACAAATAAGTAGAGAGAAAAACTGTTAAGTTAACTGTCTATCGCAATGTTTTATGGTTTACTTAAAAGTTTGTTACTCTACTCATTCGTGGCTCACTGGCTTTGCTCGCTCTAAAATGGACTAACAAACAGAACTTCAAACCGAAAATTCTTGTTAAAGATGAAAAATGTTGTCAGTTGTCATCAATATTCATTTATCAATCAAACTACGATTAAGAAGGCGTCAAGCTGGTCGCAAGATTCAATTTGCTAGATTTCGTATTCCAAAAAAAATTAAAAAAACCCATCTCAATACAAAATGTTTTCCCATTTTGTTGCCGGTCCAATTATTTCCGATAAATTTCCTTTATGGAGTTTTCGAAATGTTAGCAAAGCCTATAGAAGTTATAAAGTTCGAATGATGAATCAAATACCGTTTTGATATAAAGCGATTAAAATGTCTATATAATTTTTAAACAAAAAAGTAAACTTGAAAGTACAAATTTATGCGCATCCATAAAAATGAATGTCATCCACGCCAAATGTAAGCAAACACTGGGACAAATTATTTTTGTTAAAAACTATTACTTCGATCGTCGAAAATGAAATATTAAAACCACACCTATCATAATTATTCCATTTTCTTCGAACGTCAAAAAAATTGAACCGAATCAATATAGAGATTTTTTTTTGCCCGTGCTGTATTATAATTTAATAACCCAGTTGGGTGAGTTAATCTAGACGATTTTTGTTAGCAGTCTATTTTTCAATACGTTACATTAAATTTTTCAGAGTTGTCTATTTAGTCCTAATCACTAAAAATGGGGAGGAATTCTGTCTCCGGTATGTGTTTTAATTATTTCAAGACTTTTTTTCAGGCAATAATAGCACTAAAAATTTATCAGAATGGGTCGGGAGATTTATCATCGAAAAGCATTTCAAGTCGCTCAGTGTTGAGAAAAAAAAGTTGGATGTTTTTGTATTTTAGGCCAGCGGGTAACAGTTTTTAGTAACAGGAAAACTGGTAAGTTAGGTTTTGAAAAACGTAATTTACTGCATTTTTCTGAAATTTGATTTAGCGCTTCATTGTCAAAAAAAACTTTTCGAAAATTTTTTTGACAAAACTGCTGCAAAAAATATGAAAGGTGATGGAATTTGTTTTGTTTTTTGTTCTTTGAAGAAAACTGTAGTCAATTATGATGGAGTAGTTAAAATTTCTTGAATTTATTTTTTCTTTTTGTCTCCTTGTGCACAAAAACATACCATTTGAAAAAGTTATTTGTCGCGAAGGCTTTTGTTAAAGTGGTTGAATTTTTTTCTGCCACTTACTCAGCATCCGGCTACTCTTAATGTAAACTGATTGTGTGTTCAAGCTTTGTTGAAAATGTAATTTTGCTAAGGTGAGCTGTGAGAGGATTTTTTTTTATTGGGGAACCCAATTTTTAAGAACAAGTAAAGTTTTAAATATTTAAATATTATTTGTAAACCTGATGTTTGTTTGCAGTTGGGCTTTTCTGTTGTTTTTTCAATGGAAAGCTAGTAGCAGAACGAGCAATAATGGCTATCAGCAAGGGGATGTAAGAATTTATTTTTTAAGCCTTCATGCAGGGGCGGATCTAGGATTTTCTCGAGGGGGGCGGATTTCCAAAAAATTTTCGAAAACTTTGTCGACCTTTTTTTTTATGTCGACCAAATTGATTATCCGAGCTCTCCCAAAGCACTAAAGCGACCCTGTTTTGGCAGAAATTTGTGCGCCGCAGGCAAAATTTTTGAAAAACAGGCCAAAAAGGCGTTTTTTGGCATTTTCTGGAAAATTTTGATAAAAAATGGCGTTTTTTCGGCGCGCGCTCCCCACTCAAAATTAGTATATACTTGGTGCCAAAGGCGCCTTTAGAAAGTTTTTAGAGTCGGTCGGCCAAAAATCGATTTCTTAAAAACTACCAAAAGGTGATGACTTCTTCTCAAATTGGGTTGGGATTAGACAAAAAAGGAAGAGAATAAAATTTGCTTATCTTTTCACTAAAATTATTATGGTGTCAAATTGGGTCATTTTAATTTTTTTGGTTATTCAAGAATTACTACCAAGAATTACTACTATAAAACTACCAATTGAATTAAAATATCTTATAAAAGTGGCCTTTCATACAGCCTGAAAAAGCTAAAACTTCCAAAAATCTGTTTAAGAGAACATATTTTTGGTTGATTAGAACAAATTTCAAACGTTTTACGCAAATCTTTGCAAATGTACCTTCTAGAGCTTTGTGGGGCCGTATAAAAAGTTTTTTTGTTAGATCTTTCTCAACAATGAACGTTGTAGTTGCAGCGTAATTCTTGCCAAAGTTAAACATTTTTGGGGTAAAATTTTGGTTAAGAATTTCGGGGACAAATTGCACCATGTTAACTTGTTAGGAATCTGAGCAAATTTTGTTTACTTCAATTTTTGTCTAATCTTAAACCAAATTGAGAAAAATGCGTTTGAATCTTCAAATGTTATAAGTTGTGTTCTGTTAACTTAAATCAGCACTATAACTATTGATCTCAGCTTAGCTAAGGTTGTCTGGTCTTCAATTTAAGAAGTTGGTTCTCAAAGGAGCTATTAAGAATTCAGACGAATAAATTCGAGTCATTACTTTGTCCAGTATAATTTGTTTGCTTTAAAAACGGGTCGACAAAATTCGAGTCACGCAAATAAAAAAAAACTTTTGAAATTATAGTAAATACATTTTTGTTGAACTTTGTTTAGCTCTTCGGCAAAAAAGCATGGCTTTAAATTTATAATATAGGTTTTTTTTTCAAAAACAAAATGAGAAAAAAAAGTTCATTAAGCAGCTCGCATTGTTTGAGAATCGTATTGTTTTGCATTTTTGTCAATTTTGAATAAGACAAACAGGTCATAAATCCGCCAAAGAAAATCTCAATTTTGAACAAAATGAACAAAAAAAGTTTCATAAAAACCCGAGTTTTCAAAATTTTCAATCTATTCCGTTTTTTATAGAGTTTTCGACGGAAACAACCACAGACTTTTCAAGTTTCATATTTTCAAATGTACTAGAGCTAGAGAACAACTTTAATCCAAAACTTAGATGTTTGATGCTTTCCTGGTATCGCTTTCGTTTGTACAATACATCCTATAGTGCATATTGTGTTCCAAATATTAAGTGCATCATCTACTCATGGGTTCTTGACTGTTTTAAGCAGATAGTTAAGTTAAAAGTTTGACTAAGAGCGCAATCAAATAATGGAAAGAAAAGTATAAAACTGCACTTAAGTTATAATAAAAAAATTTTTAGTCATACAACAACTTCATTTTTTGACAAATGAAAAAACCAACCCCCCACCCCACCCCTAAATTCCCCTCTGGAAGAAGGATTCAAAGTCGTTTTTACCTGCAGTATGTCCAGGAAAGGGAATGTCTGGGACATCTTGTCCATCACAATCGTCTGTTCCATTCCCATCTTGTACAGATTCTTTGCATACTCATATTCCAAACTCACTTTCTCTACAGCACAACAGGAAAAGGAGTGACATAACAGGGGGAGAAAAGTTAGACCTTCAATTAGGGGCCGATGGCTCACGAATTTTTAACGTCGGCTGGGCTCGGTTTTGCTCGGTTCTGTTTATATTTCGTTCGGGCAAAAATGTTTATCGAGGAAAAAATTGACCTCGTTTTGATCTATGTAATGTCAGACGTGAAATACCATCGATACTCTGATACTCATATCATGATCAATACTATAATGATCATATAATGGTATGTAAAGTCAGATGTAAACGCAAATACTCATCATAATAATTTCGAGAACTGGAGGGGAGGAGGAGGAAAATAATTAAAGCAGTTGAGTCGTGCGTCATAACGTATTTGATTTTTTCGGTGTAGCTAAATTATCCAAAACGTGCCTGACAAGGCAGGATAATACCCCCCTTTGGTACTATTTTAAGTCATCCATATTTGGCTGACCGAACCTAAATTTTCCAGAGGTGCTTTTGGCAATAAATACTACCTTTCAACTTAGACGATTTGAGATCCCTTGTCGATTTGAAATATCCATTTTTGGCTGACGGACCCTAAAATTTTTGTAAAGACGCCTCTGGCGCGAGTATATATTTTGAAGGGAAACGCGCCAAAAAATTTCTAAAAACGCTTTTTTGACCTGTTTTTTTTTCCCCAAATTTTGCCGGCACAGAGAATTTGGTCAAAACAAGATCTCTATAGTAAAACCAAGACCCAAAACTAGGTCTTGGGAGAGCTCAGAGAATCAATTTGAAAAAAGAAGGCTGACAAAATCACCTCCCCCCTCCCCCGAGAAGCACCTTCTGAAACCCCCCCGAGAGAGCACTTTTTTTAAAAATCCGCCTCGCCCTCTCGAGAAAATCGTTAATCTGCTCCTGAATCAGTAGCGGGTAGAGGGGGGGGGTGGGGTGACTGCTTTTTTCTTCCTCAATTCTGGTTGCAAAATTTTTCCAAAAAGTGCGTAAAATCACCTTTTTTGGCCTGTTTTTTGAAAAGCTTTCCTGCAGTTCAGAAAAATTTTGGCAAACTAAGGTTCTTACAGTGTTTTTGGATAGCTCGGACAATCAAATTGATCGACCTTATAAAAAACTTTCAAAACTTTTCGATTAACCCCATCGACCATGATAAAAAAAACCCTAGAAAAGTTTCTGCGCACGCCGCTGCCCTGAATATATGATTGTAATCAGGGGATATTTAACAAAAATTGTCATCGAAAAAACGTGGGTTGCGACTTGTTTCATTACAGCTTTTTTTATTTGTACCTCGATCAACATAGCGCGTGTATTGTACTCACTTTCGACCATCTGCAGTATTTCATACATGGCATTCTTCATTTGTTTGGTCTGTTCGAACAACTTCTTCATGGCCAAGTCCCCATACCTCAACAACTCCTTGTCCCCTCCCTCTGTGAATGCACAGGTGCTGCCAGAGGAACACTTGTTTACAAAGTGCCTGAACATCAAATCAATCGCCTGAAACGAAGCGAAAACGGGTAAATGTTTCCAGAGTTTTTGAGCTCCAAATCAATCGCCTGAAGCGGATAAAGTTTTCCTAAAAGAGAAGCAATGGTTAAGTGGCGTAAAGAAGCAGCCTCTAAGTCGAAAAGTCGGCTTAAGGAACAACTACCAGTCCAGGAAAATACGCAACATATTAGTCCACATGTAGTTCATTAGCAGGCTCGCTACAGCGGTTTTTTGTTAAGACCTGAACAGTTGGTATGTCGATTCTTTCGTGGATAAATGTTTTAGTTTGAATTCACAACAAGCAAGATGTCAAACACTTAAGCATCCGGTACTCCATCCATCTGGTTTTTCATATTTGATTAACACATGAAAATTTTATTTGCAGTTTAATGCATTGCATCCAGGCGGTGATTTAGGATTTTCTTGAGGTGGCGGATTGTCGAAAACCAATTCTATTTTTTTCCAATTTTTTCATTGTTAATTCGCTGGATCAAATTGAAATTCCAATATCTTCCATAACATTGAAAAACCTTTTTTCAATGAATTTTTGTTCGCGGTCGGGGAATTTTGATTATAAAAACAGGCCAAAAATGACTATTTTTTTGGACTTTTTTGAAGGTTTTGATAAAAAGGGCGTCTGTTTTTGGCGTGGGCTCCCCCTCAAATTTAGTGCATATTGACCTGAAAGTTTGCTTATTGTCCAGAAATGGATGTCGGTTGGCTATCTGCAAGGCAAAAGTATGTAAATTTTTTTTTTTTTTCAAAAATGTATTTAAAATGTGGTCTTTCACATGAAACATAGAAAGTTTTAAGCGGAAATGATGCAAATCATTCATTTTTTTCCCAGCGCGCTAAGGGAGGTTCAAACGGCGATTTATTAACTTTGAAAATGAAAAATTCGCAGTCATAAATACCTATTATACATAAATCAGCAAGTTAATAATTCCACTAATCTGTCATATATCCCATTTTATGATTGCATTAAGTGATGGATGATGATGTGCTTCCATTCGCTTCTATTTGAATGCAAAAAATTATTATAAATATCTCAATTTTACCCAAATTACAGCCGCGATTTCCATTTTCTACTCGTAATTTTATTCATTACCCAAAATGTCATACTGAAAAGCGTGTAATTCAGTTTTTTTCACAAAAGGCAATATGTAAATCCCAATCAATCTAAGGTGGGAAAATATGGATTATCAGAAATTAACCTTGAAAATAGCCCAAAACACTTCAATTAGCAGTATAACAAAAAATAAATAGTATAAAAGAAAAAATACTGCTGAATGTTCCGACTGCCTCTTAAATTCTATGGAGTAGTGTTTGCTTTAAAACAATGACGATGTTTTCAACAAAAATTTTTATTAAAAAAATCTTTTTTTTTGATTTTTTGTATAAAAAACCATCCACCACACGATAAGTTAAATACAAAGTGAAATATTTCATATACCAGAAAGCCTTGAAAAAACCAGCAAATATAATACTTTAAATCAATTTGGAACGAGTTCTAAAAACGGATTAAATCTCATCTTAAAAATATATTTCTTGCTAATTATCCGAAGTTGGCCAAACTGGCAACCTTTAAACCCACATAACTTAACAAAAAATAATCACAGGTCTTTGTAAGTTTGAGCTTAGAACAGTAATACCTTTCGGCTGATGTAAAACATTCAGTCTAAAACTCCTAGTTAAAAAATCGAAATCTGTTTGAGGAAAAGACCACCCCGAGCACAAATTTTCGATCACTTTCATCGAATAGTCGGAACAATAAGGTGATTAACTTTATTCATATGCTCACTCCATTTTTAATTAGTCATTTTAAATTGTGCATTTGTTTCAAAGATCATTTTGTCAACAGAATTTAAATTCAAAGTCCGTACATGGCTTAAAGGAGGTTTTACGGTGCTTCATTGAGGGGAAAAATTGAAAAATTGATTCTCGGATTTTGTTTCGGGTTCTAACGAAAAGATGGAATATTTGTGCTCGGTGTTTTGTTTCTTCAATCACTCATTTTAATAAAAAAAAGTTAAAATAAATCATAAACGTTTTGATGCTCTGAGCTCAAAAATTGAAAGAAACTTTATCTGCGGCCCTTCAACTGTGTTTCAAATAATATTTTCTTACGAAGGCCATTAATTAGAGCGGATTTTCAATTTTTGCAAAATCGCGTATCGTAAGCACCGGAATAAATTGATTAAAAAACTATTTGAAACTGAATCAAACTTATATTTTTAATTTTAACCCAAATATTGCGTTGTTACATGAAGACCACATATTTTGCACTTTGGTAATGCTTGTCTGGGACGGTTATTTTTTGTTTTATGAAGTTTTTAAATTGTTTTTTTTTTCAATGAAATTTAATCTCGTAATTGTATATGAGCAAAAATTTGGTGCCTCCTTATAGAAAACGGAGTGTATAAACAATCCTCGGAACACACTCAAATTGGAGTAAATTTTCACTTTTCCAACGGAAAATTTGCATTGATTTGAGTGGCCAGCTCGACAACTTGAGCCAGAACAAAATTTGCAAGTAATTTCCGTATTCGAATGAGTTGCCTATGAAAAAAGTAGGGCGACAAAGTAGGATGCGGTACAAAAGATTCAACAAACTACAGGCTTTCAAAAAAAGTGATACCCTTTAAATTTTACAATTTTTGTCGAAACAAGTAATGAATTATATATGCATTATATACAGGCATTTTTTTCTTTGTCCTGAATAGTAATTTAGATCTAACTTTTAGTAAAAAAACTGAAAACTATCACAAAGCTCATCACAATGTACTTCACTTGTGGTTTGGGTAGGGCGTGTCAAAAATCTAAGAAACATTTTTAGTTGAAAGTTTCATCATTTTTCGTTTCAACGTTTTTGTTAAAGTGAAGTCATGATATTCTGGGCTTTGTTGCGATTTAAATTGAGGTTGACAAATATTTTTTCAGATCAATTTTTTTCATTATTTGCTCCGACAAAATTGTTTAAGAAAATAAATGTTTGTATGCGTACTAGAATTTTTCAAGGAGAATCAGATGTTTTCAAATTACGTCAGAAGAAGCAGAGTGATAACTTGTTTTTAGGCATTTTTGCTCTTAATTCAGACTGTCAGCTTGTGAAAAAGTTCGAGCAATCTGCAAATTAAGTCAATTTTTCAATTTTCGGGGAAAGCTGCGGATTATAAATGCTCATCATTACGAGGCCAAACTGTGCAATGGATAGGAGCACAATTTTGTGTCTGAATGTTCCTGAATTCCAGAGACAAGTCTTAAGATATGTTCCAAATTGTAAGTGGATTCCACAAACAAAATTTCAGTGGATTCCGCAACAGCTCAATTTAACGATACAAATGTTTTATCATTTGTTTGTGGATTCCACAAACTGTTCTGGATTCCACAAATACTGTTGCGGATTTCCCAAATTTGCATATTTTTGGAGCGATTTTGAGTGGTACAATGATTTAGGTATTTGTTTGTGGAATCCAAAACAGCATAGAAGATCAAAGAAAAGTAGCAATGTTGCGGATTCCGCAACAAAACTGATTTTGGCCTGTTGCGGATTCCGCTTACAATGCAGAGAATGCACAGTTTGGCCTCGTAATGATACGTTTTTTGGACATTTGATTTAAAATCATCTGATTGGCGAAAATTGAGACCAAATGAAACCCCCCAATGCGAGGAGAAAAGTTAAGGAGTCATCTCAAAAAATCGATCACGTAAAACCTGTTTCTGAAACTCGAGAGCTGCAGTTTATATGGGAAGAAACTTTATCAATAGAATGAATGACAATGGAATGAAACTGCTGTACATTTTATAAGTTTTTCAAAAGTATTTTGTTGTAAAATATAAAATTCATCCTCTTTTCTGATTTTTGATTTTTTTTGGATTTTTTAACCAAACAATTCTTAATTTAATAAATGAAGCCTGGTGGTCTTGTAGGCTGGTCTTGTAGTTTTTTTCAGCCTTTTAGCAGTTTTTCGTCTAAAACGTTTTGAATTCATATCAGTTTTCTGAATTTAAAAATGAGTGCAAATGTTTTTTTTTGGCATTTTAAATCCAATTTCGCTTAAGTGAGAACACACATTCGGATTTCATTAACTACACCCCTAGAGTACCTAATAACGAATCGCCACCGCTATGAAAAGAAGTATTTCAATGGTTAAGCATTCTGTTGACTTCTCGACTCCGAAAACTAAGTCAGTCGGGGGCAAGTTTTCGAGACAACGTTTTGTGTCTGTTCTTCCTCGGCTTAATAAGGAGTCTGTTTTCTTCTGAGACTTTCTCAAGTTCTTGTAGGATAAATTGGTGTATCGATCAATTCCGATTTTTTCTCATCATAAAATAACAATGAAAACTAATCAATTTCCTATCATAAAAATAACAGAAGAAACTCGTTATTCGGATAAAAAAATAACACAGTAAAACCTCTGATTTCATTCTCATCATGAAAATAACAGAGTAAAAGATTACTGCTACATTACTGCGTTTTGTTCTCTGATCACAGCTAAATTGGCACTGGTCTGTTTCTGATACAGAACTGGCACGTTTTTTTTTTACATTTCTGGAGAAGTACCTATTTCCTTTGCAACTTCTGCGTTAACCCGAGAACAGATCGATGATAATTTAATGTTTGTATGAAGTCTTTTGAGAGATTTTTGAATTCAAATGAGCTTGATGAAATTCAAAATTAGTTCTCTTTATTGTTTAAAGGTGTTCATTTTGGCTTTTTGAATTCAGTTTCTAAGAACCGAGGCCAATCGGTTTTCATTTAATAGTCATTTGTGTTGATCTTTAAGATTAAAACTGTTTTTCATGCCTTAAACCAAGCACATTTTTCAACCAATTTGATTGACCTTTGTGTCAAACAGAACAGCTGACCTTTGAGATGAGTTCCAGCTGTTGTTTGTCCGTGCTGTTCCTGTTGTACTGGATCATTTCCTCCTCCACCCGATTGACCTCCTGTTCCAGTCCCTTCAGGAGAGAGGGGGAGAGGGAGGGGTCTTTGATGGCGTCCGCCACTGCCGTGTGGAAGTGCTTCATCGCCGAACTCAGGTTCAGAAACGCGATACTCGCTAAATTGTTTTAAATTATTTTTTCATTTTTTTTTTCGTTTCTTATCCATTTTTCTACAGCAACTGTTGTTCAACAGGCCTATTTGACTATGAATGTCGAATTTGTCTTATCTCTATTTTTTTCGTTCAGCATTTTTTCACAGAGAATAAACGAAACAAATTTGAAAAAAAATGTATTTTCTTAAAGACTATGGTCGGAACATTCTATGCTACTTGCGCAGTAAGCGGCTATCCTTGTTTAGTCATGAAGTTGTTAGAACTATGACAAAAAATTTTGTGCCTATCAGTAGAAGCTTCAGTAGGCCTTATAAAAGACCTGTCGATGGATCGTCTGTTTGTATTATTTCCTCACATTTCAGTCGGGTAATGCTTCAGTTTTTATTAATCTCAAGCTGTTTTTGCAATTCAAGGCAGTTTCTTTTTGCATCTAAATTGTTCACGCCCCAGCACTATTGCAGCCGAAATTGGTAAGCTGAACAAATCTATTATCATTTTTCTTTGTGAAACAGAACGTATAGAGAAAGTTGAGAGAGAAAAGTTTGTAGAAAAAAGTGTCAAAAAAGGCTAAATAAAACTTCTTACACCCCTCATCCGCATTCATGGATCTGAGACAGTCCTCCCAGGCCTCGTGAGCAGCAGTCACATTCCTCAAGTGCTCCCCACACTTCTCATCCTCCACACCCCCCACCGCGCCTGAAGCAGCCGAATCCTCCTCATAGTCATACTCCCCCACAGCACCGCCCTCCTCTAGGGGTCCATTTTGGGAGGAGAAAAAGGGGTCGTAGGGTGTAGGTACGAGGGTGTCGGACGTGACACTGTTCATTGAGGCGACGAACATGTCTCGGATTGTGGAGTGTTGTGGTTCGGAAGACGAAGATGGCGAAAGATGTCCCCTGCTAGAACCACTTTGGCTTCCATTTTCTAAAAGATAACACACAAATCTTCACTATCTAAGAATCAAAAACGGTATTTGGCAATGCTTAAATAGGATGATTTCCAGCCAAACTAATTGAAGTCAGAATGTGCATGTTAATTGCTCAGAAACCTGTTTAAAGGAATAAATTTTAAAAAGCTCTTGAGTTAATTGGTTGTTCAAGATTTCCGTTACTTTTTTTTATAAATACTTTTTTTTTTATAAACTAAATAGCTCTTTTTGGCGCTTCAATGTTTTCCTTTCCTTTTCCATAGTTTTCCTTTAAGCTCCCATTCTGCACTTTTAAACTGAAAATCGTATTTTGTTGTTTTAAAGCAGACGTTTTCGATGCTTAATAGATACGATACGTTCAAAACCCGGACGTTGAAAAAAAATTTGAGTAGAGACACAAACTGTTCGAATTCATGCAATTTTCAGATATTAGCCAGGGGCGCTCAATTTTAACACATCGCCAATAGAACATGCTCTAAATCTGACAAATGAAGATATCCGAAGAAGATTTGATCAAAACTGAAAAAATGAAGCACTAAAGATGGTTGTGATTAGTTTTTGTGTTTCATTGTGAAATTTTCACTTTGAAGCGATTTACACATTTCCATTCTTAAAATTTAGTTGACATAGCAAGTTAGCATTTAAATGTGTTACATTTTTTGGAACTATCCTTGTTTTCTGAACGTTTTTATACCAAATTTTGACAGCATAAAAGTCAATTTGGGTTAAAAAAACATTATCATAGAAAAATAAAAACTTCCGTTGAGCTGTTTTTCCATCATGCAAGATGAAAAACGAACCATTGAACCGCTAAAAAACGAAAAAAGGAATGATGTTTTATATCATATTTATGTGTTTTTAATTTTGATAAAATTGACCCTAAGCAACTCCAAAAAATTGAAACAGAGCTAGTTCTTGTAAAATCGTAGATCATTTGGAAATCAACAAATTGCGCAAGAATTAGTTCTACATAGTAATAGATCTGCATCTTATCATTGATCCAACAATTTTTGAAGAAAAAGACAAAATAGTTGTGCTTGGGGTGGTTTTTTCTCCAGGCAAACGCGGGAGAAACTTCGCTTTTTTAAGTAGCACTTTTTTAACATTCGAACAATATTATTGAGCTGAGTTCAAATTAAAAAAAGCGAATATATAATCTGTCAAAAAATTCAATCCTTATTGAATTGAGGCATGCTATTTGGAGTACTTAAAATTGTCATATTTGCGAATATATCACTCTATACTTTACATAGTGCATGGGGGATGATTTTCAAAAAAAATCTCAAAAAAACGATTTTTTTTTTCATTTTTCCTTTAAAAATGTTATCCGTTTTTGACAAGGGAGCACTACTCCATAGACCTTCAAAAGGCCGTCAGAACAATTAGGGCGTTACCCTGATACGAGCAGTTTTGATGAATCACTGAACGGGTGACGGCCCGGGAGCAACAGATAAAAGAGAGAGCAACAGTTAAAAGAGAAAATGACACCATCTTCTTTGGTGTCATTTCTGGTTTATCGTAAATCGAATAAACTTTTGTTTGCACCTATAGCATAGCTGACTCGACTCCATTTGTTAAAATCTGTACTATTCGGTACCTGCTACAGTTCTACACTTGCTTTTTCAGTTTTTTCGATTTTTCAATTTTTTTTCAATTTTTTCGATTTTTTAAGTGTTCCCTCAAGACTATTAGTTTTAAAGTACTTTCAATTTTTTTTGTATTTTGCTACTCGTGTTGTAAAGCACATCTTCAAAACGCTTCAATAACAATGTCAAATTGGGAAAAATATATTTTAGCTTGTCCAATTGCATTTCTCATTTAGATCATATTCTGAGCAAAAATCAACTTCTGTTTTTTTTAAAAATAAAATATGATCCTCTTTTTGGCTTCGATAATAATGATTGTGCAATTTTACAAGTAGTTTGGCATACTTTTGTACATAGATTAAATACGTTTTTGTTTAATAACAATTGTTTAACCTAATACCAGGGCGAATGCAAGTTCACTCTGTCCCCTGACAAACTAAAGGTGGTATTTTTACTTCCTCGATATATTCTTTTGAAGACCAGTCCAGACATTTTGGAGAGCGCCTTTGGCACCATTATACTTAAATTTGAGGGAGAAACGCGAGGCGCTTAGTCAAAAAGTGCAATCTTCAGTTGAAACTTTCCAAAAAGTTCTGTGAAACTTCGTAAAGATCTTATGGCTGAGTAACTTTTGATATAATAGACTACATTCACTTTGCAGGGGTAATGAGTTCTATTTCATCTCTATAACAGCAATATTTAGAAACACAGAACTGTTTCATAGTTGTGCCATGAGAAAAAACTCTGCTCTATCGTTCTAAGTTATTTATTGAAATTTTACATCTGATCAGAGCTAAAATGTGGAAAATTATTTTGCTCAAAACAATACCAATCTCCAGGTCCAGCCCCCCCCCCCCCCCCAAGCGAAAAAACTTTCCATCCGCGCTTGCATAATACCGCAAAACTGTTAGATATATTTGTACGAACAACGAAAGGCGGATTTGGAGGGGGTTGGTCCCACTCAGGGTTTTGACCACTTTTGATACTCTTTCCCAATATCCACTTCCGGCCGATCAACTTTAAGACTTTAGTAGAGGCGCCTTTGACAGGGAGTGAGCCCTGAGTTCGGCAAGGTCTGCATTCATTATGGTCTTTTTTGACGCAAATCGTCAATTTATGACTAATTGATTGCTATTTTGTTTTGATTACGCTAAGCGTGACTTTCCTGTTGTTCGATTATTGCTTTCGCAATCATGCATAAGACCACAATTCTACTCTTTATTTGTTTTTTTTTTCTACGAGACTCTTTTCTAAATTTTGCAGTCCTCTTTAAAAATTCAATTAAAATCGAGTAGCAAAATTCAATTAAAAGAGACTCCCACACCGGAGTTCCATGGATAACAATCGATTATAGTGGAAAAATGTTGTCTAAAATGTTGTCAGTATAATCTATTTTTGTGGCAACTTTAGACCACGTAATCGATTATGTGGTCATTAAAATCGATTTTTTTTCCGAAAAATAAAAATCCATTATAATCCATTATAATCGATTACAATCCATTATTTTTGAAAGAAAATGAAACTTGTTTTCGAGGCAAAATAATCCATTATAATCAATAATAATCGATTTTAATGGATTTTTTCGAGAGGTTAGTCATGAAATATACAACTTTTTTTCAAAGTTATCGCATTTCCTGTTTAGTGCAGTTGCTACGTATTAGGTTTTTAGGCTTCATAAAATGTTGCTTTTCACAACATTAATGGTGGGAGGAGTAAATGGTGGGAGGGGGAGTATGCGGTGGGTGGGGGGTAGTAAACTGGGGGCTTAACTGGGGGGGGGGGGAGGGGTGGTGGTAAACTGGGGGGTGGGAGCGGTAAACTGGAGGGTGGTGGCGGTAAACTGGAGGGTGGGGGGAGGTAAATTAGGTAGGGGGGAGGGGTTAAAAAAACTGGGTTAACAAAACTTATAATTATTATCCATGGAACTCCGGTGCGGGCAACTATTAAAATCTAATTCAAACCCCTGAAAATTTAGTTTTATTAGGGCTTTGGTTAAAAAAACAGTGAAATGAAGTGTTAGTTAAACTGCGATGAATTACAAAAGTAGAGACAAAAAAATATAATTTTTATTCTGAAATGAAAATTTTATGAAACGTAATACGTAGCAACTGCAATAAACAGGAAATGAGATAGTTTTGAACAAAATTGTAAATTTCATGAATAACTCCTCGAAAAAATCCATTATAAATGATTATAATCGACTAAAATGGATTATTTTGCCTCGAAAACAAGTTTCAATTTCTTTCAAAAATAATCGATTATAATCGATTATAATTGATTATATTCGGATTTTATTGATTAGAATTATAGTTTCATTATAATCCATTTTTAATCGATTATAATCGATTGTTATCGAAATTTATCGAGACAGACCACGAAAATTCAATATAATCGATAATTATCCTTGGAACTCCGGTGCGGGCTGCTTATTCGGTTGAACAATTGATAAGCCAAACTTCAGGCAGGATCTGCAAGTAACTTCAAACTAAGCAGAAAAGCGTAGCTATGTATCGTGCGACGGAATTTGTTTAATTAGCACCGTTCTAGAAAAATTACTAGAGATTTACCTGGGGTGAAGGGCATTTCAGTTCCTCTTCAGGCAAAGTTTGCCCTGGCTGGGTAAAATGATAAGATTGAAGTCGAAGAAGGTTGAATAGGTCGGTTAAGGCTGAATTATAACTACTTCTAACCATAAAAACTCCATATTAGCTTTGCCAGTCGATTACAAAACGGCGGTTTCCGTAAATTTAAATAAATTATGAGACTAAAAATTTTGATAACTTTTGTTCTATTAGCTAAACTTTAGATTAGTCTTCAAGCTTTCTAATTCAAAACGGGTACATTAATATTGCCACAAGAATGATAAGTTCTCTTTTGGCAAAAATTCAATTTTGCAAAAATCCAATTTCACTGTTTTATGTCATATGGCGACATTCAACAAGTCAAGGTTAGAGTAACTATGCTTTATTATCCTGTGGAGATTTATCTCAAACTTGAAGGATAGCTTCAATAAAATTGCTTTTGTTGTCCGGGAAAAATACAACACTTGTGAGTTCTGAAACGTAGTAGGGTTCCCTGCAAAATCCCAAACTAATATGTTTAAAGTGCCCAGGCTTTATTTGGGTCCAACAATTGTTCCATTTTCGAGCGGCCTATTCCGATCCTAAGGCGGTAGGCCCACTGAGCGTGGTTCATACAGACGAAAGCAGTAAAGCTTTAAAATCACTATTTCAAAAAGCTGATGGAACTCAAGATTTTAATTGCGCAAACTCATGTTGTCGTTCAAGTTTTTAGCTGGCATTTTGTATATTTTCTTGTCAACAAAAGCGCTTTTTATTTGCGAAAAATTTTAATACGAAAATTCTGATAGAAAGAGAGAGAGAGAGAGAGAGAGAGAGAGAGAAGAAAAAGATTTTATCCTGAAGACAAACCCTGTTTTTGAGGTTTTTCTGATTTTCAAAAAACTTAGCATTCGATGGATTCGAGGATCTCTTTAACTATATCCCCCTTTTGCAAAGGGGGATTCGTTACTAGGTTTGAAACTCTCATATGCTTAAGCATTGATTTGTTTCTTTATAAGGGGATATTCGCTACTACCCGAGGTGGGAATATATTTAAAGAGAATCGGATTTGATAAAAGGCATGTCTATAGTTTATGATAAAAACACTACATCGAAAATAACAACACTGGCAAAGCGCGAAATTCACCACGGCTCGCGTGAATAAATTAATGGAATATAAATATATCCGGGTTTTGCAAACTGCCGGCTGCTGGTTGCCCAGTTTTATGGGCTAGAAAGTAAAATGGGTTAAAATATGCCAGTGTCGTTTGAATTGCAGGCCATAATGGCGTAAAACTAAAGGGCGCTTTGTGTTATTTTGGATCGAAATGTTTAAACATATGGTTCAATTTAACAGTCTACGAACCAGTTTGATAGCATACTTGACGAACACAAATCATCGAAAGTTCCGTTTAGCATAATTTATTTTTCCATTTTTGATTCGTTTAAAAATTTTCAAAACTGAACTCATCATGTTTCATTCATTTCAAAATTTAGAACAAGGTTCAGAAATATGGATTAAAACTTGAAAGTTGTTACCCGTAAGAATCTAGGAAGAGTTTTGGCTTTCGTCTAGCTGAGTTTAGAATGAGGGTTCGGCTGTATGAATGGATGGCAGCTCTATGGTAGTATTTGCTTTAGCACCATCTCAATTCTCAGTTCAAACAGTGGCCATTTTGTTGCCCAAATAGAGCAGTGGGTTTCTGAATGCATGTCGTTAAATGAGCTTGTTTGTTCCATTTATGTACCATTGAATGGATTTAACGAAGTATTTGAACTCTCCGATTGATCGCTTGTTTCTGAAGACGCCTATCATAAAAATGGTGCTAGAATTTTATCAGAATTAATTGTTCGAGAATATTAATCAACTTTGCGGTAGAAAGCGCATTTAGAAACTACTCAAACTAAAAAAAATGCTTTCGTGTGCAGTTTTTTCTCCCAAAAAAAACAAAGAAATGATGTCTCCAGTTATTAAAAAATGCATTTTCTTAACGCGAAAAGCAGCCACAGTGTTTGTTATCCAGAAGGGCATGTAACAATTTTTAGCATATGTTGATGATTTGGCGAATAACTTGTATAATTTAGTTTATGAAACTAGATCACATGAGTGCAAAAAATTGCAATAAAACTAATTAATCCACAAATTGAAAAAATGGCTCATGAAATTTTCTAACTGCAATAATAATATTCTCTTTGAAATAATTCAGTCACAAAAACAGGTTGAATTTTAATTTTTAGATTAGTTAGTCAAAGTCAAACGTTGTCAAGCTTCACAAATAGTACAACAAAACTATAGTGTAAAACTAAGTCACCGTGGCTTAACCATTCTATGTACGGGTGAAATTTGTTATGGGTGTTTGTGAAGCAAAATTTTAAAAGTAAAAATACAAAAATAATTTTAAATTTCATAAATGTTGATTGAGATATGATACTTGATTTTTCGTCGAAAACCAAAGCAACTCTTGTTTTTCAGAAATGCTGTTTCCTCAGTAAACAGTAATATGATTCCCAAAAAACGATAAAGATAGCCAATAACCGAAGCTAATTTTAAACAAATTACGAACCAGTTTCTTTGAGCCTGGAAAATACAGTTTACCCAAAAAACTGAAGAAAAGTTATCCCACGCGTGAGTTTGCAATAAGCATCTGGCAATAAAAAAAAACAAGTGAAAATTGTAAGCTTTTTCTCAAATCGAAAAAAATCCCACGACGCTAGAAAATTCATGCCTTCGAAAACTGTTTTTCTCAGAACTACAAAAAAATGGTTAAATTTAGCGATTATTGTTTGAAATCAAGTTTTTTTTAGATCATTGCTCTTATTCTTTGCTAAGACTTCGCTTAAGTTCAACTAAATGTTGCTGACGGAATTGACATGGGAAAAAGTTCAATTATTTTACGAAAAATTGTTGGTTGCATTTTGCTGGCATTCTACTCATCTCGATCAAAATAAATCGCATGGTCAAAATATCTAAACTGGATTGGGTGTTTTAAAAAATCAAATATGAAATGAAGTTTCTTAAAAAACAATGGCGTACTCAGAAATTTTTTTTTGTCCATTTTTCGATATTCTTAACTTGACAAAAATTAGTCAAAGCACAGTCAAAACTTGAAGCAAGAATATCAGCAATGTTCTATCAATTCGTCCAAAGAAAAAGAGTTAAGCTGCTTGTAATTTCAGTTTCACGAGCCCCAAAAAAGTTCAATGATTAATGTTTCATCCAAAATTTTGGTGCACAACCTATTTGAGAAAATTTTGTGAAACAAGTTACAAGTTTTGATCTTTGAGGTATCATGGGGAATTCTTGACACAAATACTACCCTCGGAAACCTTAGATCCGCTACAGTTGATATTTCTTAAAATATTTTTACCTAAAAAAAGAACCAGTTGGAATATAGATCAAAAACTACAAATCGCATAGTAGGAAGATGAATCTCAAGAAAACAAGTTTTCCGACAACGAATATTCAATTTGAAACTTCGATTCGCTATTTATTTCACTTTTCATATCGGACACGTTTTATTGATTGCTCCACTGTTGAATATGTTTTGATTAAAATGAGTATGATGATGATGCATACTTTATTACTTCTAACAAATGTTTATTTGCTCTAAATTGCGTCAACATAGTGGAAGCTTTGCTTAAATATGTTTCCCCGTCACTGAGTTTCAGAAGTTTTTTCGATCTTTAGCCAGTAGGCTTACTGAGCATGATTCATACAACTGAAAGCAGTAAAGCTTAAAAAAGCACTATTTTAAAAAACCGATAAAATTCCAACACTTCAATTTTTAATGGAGGCAAATTCATGTTACCTTTCAAACTTTTTGCTGGCTTTCTAAATGTTTTGTCGTCAAAAAGCACTTTTTTTATGAAAAACTTAAATGCAAAATTAATGAGAGAGAGAGAGAGAGAATGAAAAACTTGATTCATGATTAGCTACAGGAAAATTTCAAGCTACAACATTATTTTTTTCGAAATAACTTCGTCGAGAAAAACAGGTTGAGATTCTTAATTTTAGACTAGTTCTTTCATTTTTTGGTCAAAAGTCAAAAATTGTCAACTTTCCCAAATAGAACAACAAAAATAGTGTAAAGCTTGGCTGATTTATCTCTCTTCGTACTTTTGAGTCAAAAGTCAACCGTGGCTTAACCATTCTTTGTACAGGTGCATTTTGTAAATGAGTGTGAAGCAAAGTAATAAAGTTTGTAAGTAAAGATCCTTGTTTTTCAGGAAGGCTGTTGCCCCAGTAAACAGTAATATGATTCCCGAAAAACAAAAAATACAGCCAATAATTGAAGTAGTTTTTAGAAAAAAACGTATAAGTCAGTTTTTTCGAGCCTGAAAATACAATTTTCCAAAGATTCGAAGACAAATTATCCCACGCGTAATTTTGCAAAATGCATCTGGCAATTAAAAAAACACACTTGGGCGATAACTGTTTGCCTTTTTGCAAGTAGACAAAAACCACTAAGCTCAAAACTTTATGCCTTCGAAAAAAGGATTTTTAAGAACTACAAAAGTTGGTTACTTTGACCAATTAATGGTCGAAACCAAGTACATTGGATCATTGCTCTTATTCTTCGCTAAAAATTGGCTTAAATTTAATAAAACTATTGCTGTCGAAAGTTGACATTGAAAACAGTTCAATTGTTTTAACAAAAAAAAACGTTTGTTGCAATTTGCAAGTGTTTTTACCAGACTCGCTTTAAATAAACAGCTGAGTCGAAATATCTAAACCGCAATGGGTAATTTGAACAATGCAATATTAAATAAAAAATTCTAAGGAAAGCGAAATTAATAAACAAGAAATCAAAGAAGTACCCAAAAAACATTTTTCAGTCCCACTTTCTGAGCCTCCTAACCTGACAAAAATTGGTAGAAAAAATTGAAAATACCAGCAACATTAAATCAATTTATCCAAAGAAAAATTTTTCAACAGCTAGTAATTTCGGTTTCATGCACCTCAAAAATTTTAATGAATAGTGATTCATCTAATATTTTGTCGCAGAACCTTCGTGAGAGAGTTTTGTGAATTAAACTTTGAGTTTTGAGGTATTATAGAAATTTCTTGACACAAATACTACCCTCAGAAACCACAGATTCGGTACAGTTTATAAAGTTTTTTAAAAATTTTGTTTACTGAAAAGAACCAGATGCAATATAGGTCAAAAAGTACAAAATGCGAAAAAAGGCAATGTTTTGTTTCAGAAGAGGTTTTGCTCTGGGTAAGTGTTTATACGCAGCAAAACCTTTTGGGACCACCGGTCTACATTTTCCGTATACGCGTGGATCCGGTACGAAAGCGAGACCATCGTGTCTAAATACATGTGGTTGTTTCCCGTCCTTCCAAATCCAAGCTGTGTGGGGTGAATGATTAACTATAGAGCCATTTTCCAGTGTTTTAAATTGCGCCCCGAAAACCCCTAGTTTTTTGGCTTTCCGGGCAATGGTACCAGGTTTCCGGACTACATGTTCGATTTTTTGTCCAAGTTTTGCGTTGATCGTGGACTGTGGGCCTTTAAAACGATCTTTGCGGAACACTAGTGGTGCCCTTTCGATATTTTGTTTTTCCTGATTTGTGAGAGTACGAATTGGTTTTCTTGTTTTTATTAGCGATAGATCTTTTTTTTGTGTTATCTTTTAAGAATTCACATTTTACACTTATCATATCATATGGTATGATAGATAAAGGTAAGTGCGCACCTATTGGAAATTTCTCCTTCAGTTGACGGTCAAATTTGCCATCACTCGTATCCCAATGCTGGCGCCGGCTGGTTGGCATTGAGGCCTAACCGTAGTTTTCTTTTTCGTCCCTGGATCGCTGAGTGGTGTATTATCCCTTGGCATGGTTGTCGCTTCTGTTTGTCCTGATGCTTCTGGCTGTTGTGAGGATGTTGATTCGGGGTTGAAAGTCGGCTCTGGAGGGTGTTGATGCTGGCGGTAGGTGACATCTAATTCGTCTTCACTATTGGCCTCGCAGTTCCACATCGCCTCAGCTGTTAGGGCTGGTTTTGTGAGTAATCTTTGGTCTAAGCAAGCAATTTTTGTGGTTTGCCAAGATAAAATTGACAATTTAGTCATTGTGGCAATATCATATCAGCCAGTTGTTTCGAGCCTGAAAATACAATTTTCCCAAAGTTTCGAGGACATATTAGCTTTCGAAGACAAATTACAAAATACTTTTTTCAGTCCCAGTTTCTGAGCCTCCTAACATGACCAAAATTGGTAGAAAAAATTTGAAAAAAGAAAACCAGCAACAATAAATCAGTTTATCCAAAGAAATTTTTTTAAATAGCTAGTAATTTCGTTTTCA